AGATTGAAAGCAGAGCGGTGGTTGCCAGGCGCTGGGGGAGGGGAAATGGGAGTTGTCCTCTGATGGGTACGGAGTTTGTTCTGTGACATGAAAACTATTCTGGAGATCGGTCGCACAACAGTGTGAACGTACTTAACACTACTGGGCTGTACACTTACAAATGGCTAAAATGGTAAATTCGATGTCTTGTGTATTTTATCACAATCAAGATTAGAAAGAAAAAGAAATCGGATAGTGTCGAGGCCAAAACAGATTTCATAAATGTTTTAGATTCCCAATTATTTTTTTTGTTGCTAGTTTAATAGTGGGTTATATTTTATATTCATATTTATAGAAAGCGCAGAAGTTGGGTTGTGTGGCAGATTTTTGCTTTCGCTCTTTTCTCACCTAAGACCCTAGTCTCAATTTCAAGCCAGACCCCTCACCTGGTGGCAGCCACCTAACGGGGCGTCAGGGGGCATGGTTCTCCAGCAGTTGTGTTGACTTCGAAGGTGAAAGAGAAGGAAGAGGCAAGGGTGGCCCAGGTTTCTGGGCTGAGTGAGGGAGAGTCATTCACGGGGGGAGGGCTGGGGAAGGGAGGGGGCCGAGGAAGCCGTACTCGCTGAGGGTCTAGTTTGTGCTGGGCTCTGTGCTCAGCATTGTGCAACCCTACTTCACTTAACCCTCGCCACAGCCGGAGTGGCTGGTGTCCTGGCCTCGCTCCTCCATAAACAAATCAGGGGCGCCTGGGTGGCTCAGTCGGTTGAGTGTCTGCCTTCAGCTCGGGTCATGATCTCAGAGTCCTGGGATCGAGCCCCGCATCGGGCTCCCTGCTCCGCTGGGAAGCCTGCTTCTCCCTCTCCTCCCCCTTTGTGCTCTCTCTCGCTATCTCTGTCACTATCTGTCTCTCTCAAATAAATACAATCTTAAAAAAAAAAAAAAGAAAGAAAGAAAACGAATCAGAGCCTTCAGGGACTTCGGCAGCCCCCTCAAGGTCACCCAGCTAGTAAGTGGTTAAGAGCCTTGGAGCCAGGTTGTCCTTTCAACTATGCCAGTTGAGGACACGATGAGGTTGGAGATGCAGGGCAGGTACAGAGGATCAGGAGGCCATAGTGAGCATGCTTCTGACGCTCGGAGGGAGACCCTGCCTGCAGGTGAGGGGGCTGAGACGCAGGGACAGGACAGACGCTGTGAAGAGATGAGATTTCAGCAGGAGCCCTCCTGCTGAGAGGAGGGAGCCCCGAGGAAGCCTCACCGAGGGTGAATCAATAAAGGGGCCTGAGAAGGAGCATTCAGAGACAGGAGGAATGTCAGGAGAGGAATCAAAGGAGGAGAGGACTCGAAAGGACGGCGACGCCATCCCTGTCACCTGTCACATGAATGTCAGGGATGAGGCCGGAGAAGCAGCCTCTGCTTTGGCAATAACTCTGGCAGGCCCTGTCCTCTTCCCCTGATAACTGTCCCCCGACTTGCCAACTCCCAGCACAGCTCCTGTGTTGCGTGAGGGCTCTTGGTGCACCGTCTGGACGCGCCCTGGGAGGGCAGGGGCTCCGATGTGATCCTCGGTCCCCGGCACCTAGCACAATGCCCCCGCACAAAGTGAGTGCTCGATAATTACTTGTTGAAGGCCTGGCTGAAGCCAGCCCTGTGCCCTCCCTCCACCGGCAGGAGGTGCGCCCCCGCCCCTCCCCCCACTCAGTGGAGTGAACCCCCCCCCCCCCAGGCTCTCTGCTCTCTGCAGCACCAGGTGAATAGCGGGCAGAGCTGCCTCGGCAGCAGGCAGCATTGCGGAGTCTCAAAGGCTGCGTCTGACCTTGAGCCATCTTCCATTCTGCTTGGCTAAGCGCTGAGTCATTTACTTGTTTTTGCTGCCTTTCAACCCTAGAGCAGTGGGTTTAGCACAAAGGAAGACGTGAGGGTTGTTTTATTTGTGGGGAATCGATTTCCCTTAAATAAGAATTTAGCTGGTAGTCTGCACTGCACAGTGGGATGGTGTTGGGGCGGGAGGAACACGGTGGGGGCTTCTTGAGTCAGTGGCCAGGAAACAATGAGCCTTTGGAAACAATGTTTTTCCCACAAACAGGGACTGCCAGAGAACCAGCAGGGCCTAGAAGTCAGGAGACTGGGTGAGTCCCAACTGGGGCACCGGCTGGCCGTGGGGCCTTGGGCAAGTCACTCAACATGCTGTCACTTACCATTTACTCTTTCTGGGCAGCTCTCCTCACCTGCAAGATGTAGAGATGACCTCAACTCCCTCCAGTGCCCGAATGGCACCCATTCTACCACGGGTGGCTGGGTGCTGCCACGGCGCGTGGTGGTGGGGGACACTTCCAAGCAGAGACGGCCTCCCGGACCCATGACAGCCTCCCAGAGCATTTGTCCCTGGAGTGGGGCCCAGTAGCGCCCTGCAGTGGCACCTCCATCAGAATCCCTCTCGTTCCAGCCCTTGTGACACTGGCTGAGAAGAGGCTACGATTGAGGTCCGGAGCATCCGCTTGGGGGTTCCACACATCTGGGTGCGTTTTCCTCCATTGGGTGCCTGACTATGCGCAAGTCACTAAATCACTCTGAGCCTCCTCCTCACCTGTCCCATGGGGGCCTTCTTACCTAAGGGGGTCTTGTGGTGATCACAGGAGATAACTGCAAAGAAAGTGCTCCGTGCAGGGCCTGACACAGAATGAGAGCACACTAAATGTTAGCTATTATAATAGTAAATACAATTTGTGGCTCAGATCTATACATCAGGATTACCTCCAAAAACAAATTAGAGATTATAAAGACCCTAGAGATCTTTCCCAAGGCCCTGGTTGTAGAGATGAGGCAAACAGATCTGTGGGGAGAGAAGAGACTCACCCTAAGATCCACCGGCAGAAATGGGACCATAAGTCCTGATTCCTCTATGGGGTGGATCATTGCGTTCTCTCCTCAGCTCCTACGAGGGCCCTGCTGGGGCGGCTGCCAACCTGCGGCACCCTCAAGCGGTGGGAACCCTGATGTCTGATTCACCACTGTTCCTGCCCCCAACACGGCTCTCCCTGGAACAGAAGTGTTACCCAGGGGGCTTGGTCCACAGCAGGCATTCAGTAGAACCCTAGGCAGGATTTGACCCAGGCCACCTTCCCCTTCGAGGCCTGTTTCCTTAAATGCAATAAAATGGTCTTTCGGAGCCTCGCAGTCCTGACATGCCACAGTTTCAAGAACTGGCCTTACTTAACCACAAACATGTGGCTGGAAAGCTCAGCTAGCCGGAACCTTCCCCAGAAGTACCTTCCTTGGGAGGAATGGGCAGAGCCCAAGAAAGCCTAGTCACCCACTGCCCTTGCACAGTTTTTCCCAGCTTATGGCCCACTGGGGTCTACGTTGTCTTATTGGCTGCGTCCCTGCTCCACAGAAAGCAGCCCGAGACTTGCCCAGTCAGGACCAGGGCTCAGAATGAAGGAGGATCTAGAACAGTGCTGTGCACGGAGCATGCACTCCATAACCACCCACCAACATGAAACACAAGCCCACACAAAGTGGTTTTGCCAAGGAGGGAGCCCTGGACCGGGAGCCTGGAGGCCGGGGACTGAGCCCACGCTCTCCCCTCTCACTGGTTGGGGCTGCTGCTCTGGCTGTAAAAGGTGGTCATCGGATGGCGGGACCCCCTCCCTGCATGAGACCTCGCAGCTCCCCGCCTTCCTCAGGGCACCCAGCAGGCTGGGCTGGGGTCTGTGTACGGTCTGCCCTCCATCCCTAGAAGAAAGCGACTCTGCCTTTATTCATCACCCTATCTTCCCAAGCCCACCCCAGACCTAAGCAGAATAGGTTTCTGGAAAAAGGCGGCAGGGAGGGAGGGTGGGAGGAAGGGGTCTGAAGTCCCTCCGGAACTAACAATCCACACGTCCACAAAGCTAGGTTCTAAGGCAAGTCACTGCAAGTGTCTATTAGGTAGGACCTTGCTGATGGTGGAAACACCACAGGGGAAGGAAAGGCAATGAACTTCAGAGGTGAAACGCCATGTTAACCCCTTTCGGCTCAGGCCCAGCTAACTTCCCAAAACACAGGCCTGTGGGTCCACGTGTGTGAAGGCCGCCAGGCTGTGGGATGTGGGGAGTCCTGCCTTCCCCGTGGGACCCTCAGTGATGCTGGTGTTGGAGGCCATGACGCACTTCGTCTGCAGAGTTCATCAGTTACATGTCAGTGCTTTCCAGCCCAGAGCCTACAGTTCCAGTGCAGGAACACAATGTAGCAGGATTCCGAAGGATTCAGGAACAGAGAGGGGATCTTATAAATAACTCCTGGTTAAAACAGAGCTGAAAATAAGGAGACAGGAGAGGAAGCAGATTGCGAAGCGCAGGTTGACTCAAAACCATTGGCTTGAAAACCTTCGTGCAAATGGCTGGTCCTTCTCGTCGGAAGATCACACACAGGATCGGACCTGGAGGCGCCGAGACCGTGTGTGTGCCTGAGGATGCAGGTGAAAGCGGGAGGCTCCCAGCACACGGTGTCGAGGTGAAGATGCTAAGACACGGGGCTTGCGGTAGATCTCGCGGCGTCACTTAAGGGACTCAAATCAGTTGCAGTGACCGTGGTTAAGACCCTGGACCCCCCTGAGCCACTCTGTCTTCACAGGAAGGTCTGGCTGCTGGGTTGATCTGTAAGCTCTGAGATTCTAGACAGCAATTCACAGCTGTGGCCGCGGTATAAAGGCCTGGAAGCCAAAAGTCGGAACTAAATCTTGACGGTGCTCCCATGTCCGGTCTCCCCCGTTTCCGTTCTGGAGGGCCTTCCTCTAGCTGCGACAAGGCCACTACAGTGTGTGCTCTCCCCAGTGCTAAAACTGAGCGCAAATGTGCTTTATTCACTTGCAATCCCCCAGGGCCCCTGATCTTGGGGTGTGGCCCAGCAGCATGCTACCCGTGGGCAGGGTGGGGACACGGGGCCCCGGCGGAGGCCAAGGAGCTTAGCACACAGCCGGCCCTGTCCGGGGGGGGGGGGACACGGGGTGGGGGCCAGCCCTGCCTCCTGGCCCGCACCACCCACGCAGGAAGCTGAACGCCCGAGGCAGTGACAGCCTGAGCGGCAGCCACGCCCCGCCCCCGCCCGTTGCAGGAGGGAGAGGAGGAGCGGGGTCCTGCTCGCCGCGGGGGCCGGCCAGCCCGCCACCCTCAGCAGCAGCTGCAGGCGCCCGTGTGCACGCGCAGGATGCCCCGGCTGTGCAGGTGCAGGAAGTTGAAGATCTCGGAGGGCATGGCGTGGAAGCCGGGGCGGGGCTTGACGTTGTCATAGTAGTGGTGGGTGATGTAGAGGCCCGAGGGGTTCATGGGGAAGGCCCAGAAGCCGAACAGGTGCACCTCCTCGCAGAGCTCGAGCGCCGCCGTGGCCAGGATGAGGCCGGTGCTGATGCGCTTGGCGCGCACCCCCAGGCTGAGCCAGTAGCGCGACACGTTGACCAGGTACTGCGGGTGGAAGTAGTACACGGCCTGCGGCGACTCGAAGTCGTCCAGCACGTACTTGACGCGGATGGACACGTCGGTGTTGCGCGTGTTGTAGAAGGCGGGCAGCAGCAGCGACGCGTTCTCGTACACCTGCAGCACCCGGTAGAAGGGCCGCCGCCACTTCTCCAACTTGTGGAACCTGGGCGGGGCCACAGCGACACGGTCGGCAGCCCACTCCCCAGGCCATGGGCGCCCCGGAGCCCCTGCCGCCCCCACCCGCCACCCCGGGGGCCTCTTCGGGGCACGCAGGGCACTCCAGGCCACCCTGCTGCTCCCTTTCATTTCCTTCGCCTCCGAAGGTGAATGCCCTGCCTTTCTCGGGGTCAGCTGTATTTGTGTAAGTGGTCCCCCAGGGACAACAGTGTAGGGACCGCCGTGCTTCACCCCAAGGGGTGAGGGCGTCCCCGGGTGGACTCGGTGGGGCAGGGGTGAGGAAGTGGAGGCTCTCCCTGGAGTCCGCAGGCCATTCACCCGTACTTTCTCTCCCAAGGCCCCCAGTGAGGTACACCGAAAGAGTCTGCCTGTCCTCTCAGCCGCTCCTCCCCCACAGCCCCTCCCTCCCCTTCTTCCTCACATTAAAGGGCCCTCCTGTGGGCTCATCTCCCTCCTCTCCCCTGCTCCTTCACTCTGCTGACTCCGTTAGTGTCCCTGGGCACCTCACCCCATTTACCAACTCCCCACCCTCTGGTCTCTGGCTGTCCCCCGTCTTGCCCCTAGCCTGACCTGGATGGTGTGACTGTGCCCCTGGCTGGAGTTTTAACCCCTGAACGCCCTTCCCTGAGGCCTCCCACACGGACAGACCCCAGGAGGGGCACTCAGCGGGGACTGAGATCTTTGTGTGAGGCTTCTCCCCAGAGCCGCCGGGACACAGCAGCATAGGAAGCTGCCTGCCCCCATCACACATTGGAGAGCTTTATGGCCCATCTAGGTGAAGACTGTCCCGACCAGTGCTGTCCAAGGGAACCATCATGGAGGCCACATATGTAATTTTCAACGTCCTAATGATCACATTTAGATAAGCAGAAAGACATGGGTGAAATTAATTTTCATCATATTCTATTGAATGCTCACAATGTTTTATTTAACTTGATATACCCCAAATACTACTATTTCCACATGTAATCAACATAAACAATTGATGAGCTGTGGCCCATCGTCTTTTTCATGGTAAGTCTTTGGAATCAGGTGTGTGTCTCCCGCTACGGACAGCACCTGTCAATCTGGATGCTGCATTCCCCGTGGCCGGTAGCCACGCGTGGCAGTCAGGGCTGCTCTCCTGGACAGCACGAGTCTGGGGGAGGCTCACTGACCTCTCTGTGATGATGCTGGGGTTCACAGTGACCACATCCGTCTTCACGCCCACATCCATGGTGTACTTCTCTGAGATGGGGGGTAGGTTGCACCTGCAGAAGACACAAGCAGCCTGGCTGCATGTACTCACTCATTCCAGAGGGAGCTGGAGAGTGGGCAGCGCGAGGGTGTGTGGGGAAGGCAAGATAGTGCTCACACGCAGAGGGGTGCCGAGGCAGCCAGCGGGGTGGAACCTTGGTAGCCTGCGCATGGAGGGGCAAGTTCAACTCCTTCCCTCTCCCACCCTGAGAGGCACGGTGATTATGGATCCATGACCCATGAGACCCCACTACAACCTCAACCCCAATCCCTTTGCTTTAAGCTTTTATTTTCAACCCATCTTCTTGATCCAGGCTAAAGACTATAAGCGAGGATCACCAAAGAGATAAGAGGGGGCTCTATCTAAGGAAGAAGAAATACAAGGGCCAGTCTCCAGCTTAAAGCCAGGGCAAAGCCAACACTGGTGTCTGTCAGCCACAAGGTTGCCCTGGTTCCAAACACTGCTTCTGGAAGAGGAGAACTCAACCAGGGAGGTGGCCGCAACCTCCCATTCTGCAGATGTGGAGACTTGAGGCCCTGACAGGTTCGGCCACTGGCCCCGAGGGACAGGGCTGGAGAAGGGAAGGAACAAGCCACAGTGTAAAGGTGTGCAGGGGTAGGGAGTGGGGACCGGTCACCTGAAGGACAGCATTAAGGCACAGGGCATTAGGGCATGGGGCTGGGGGCACCACCAGAGGGAAGGGCAGGGAACAGGAGGGCCGTGGCGGGTAGAAGCAGCAGGTGCAGGGTCGGGGCCATTCTTTTACCGGAAGACAAAGTCGGCGCTGTTGATCTCCCTCCCACAGCGGCTGTTCTTTAGGATGCCTCCGTTGCCCACCACTGCACACTTCTTAAACTGGGACCGGTAGTAGGGCATGTCCTGGGAGAGATGGGCACACAGCTGTCAGGGGCAACGCCCTCCCTGCCTTCTTCCGCCGCCCTCACCCCTGTACCCACGGCCGCCTCTCTGAGCCAGCCTGGCAGGGACTGTGGGGGGAAAGTGGTTATTCCACCTTGCAGATGAGAAGAGTGGTCAGGAGACTTGTTCTCAGTCCCCACTGGCAATTACGAAAGCTGGAAGAGAAGCAGGGTCTCCACAGCCTTTTTCAACAAGCCCTGGGATGCCTCAGGTTTCCTGAAAGAAGGGAGTACAGGTGATGGCCAGTCCTGCTTGCTTTTGGTTTTCCCAATGTTTGGAAGCTCATCTTCTTTATGACTTCCCAGATGCATAGTCTATTGGCTCGTGCAGATGTGCTGGGGGATGACAGCAGCAGAGATGGGGACAGGGCCCTAAACCTGGCCCTCCCCCCTTTCAGCTCAGGGCAAGGTACACAGGGAGGACGTAGGCCTGGGACACCAAGGTCATATGGCCTGGGACAGATGCTGGGACTTGGCAGCGGCAGGGACAAGAGACCAAGGGTTGAGAAGCAAGGCCACCACCGGGGAGCAGTGAGAGCCTGAAACACCTCAAATCTCTGCAGAGGAAGAGCTCAGAGTACAGGAGAGCCCAGGGACAGTGGCCCTCGCAGGAGCCCTGGGTGTGACCACCTCACAGCACTTTGACCTTGTCATGCCCTGACTGCTGGGCTTACGTCGGTCTGGGCGCTGGCTGCCCACAAAGGCTCCCTGGCCATGCCTTCCAGGAGACCCCAGGCAAGCGCTGGCTGGCCTGAGGAGTTAAGAGTCCTGGTCCTGCCACGTCCCTGCTCTAGGTCATAATCCCCTCCTGGGCAGCCGGGGGCGGACGGAGCCCAGCAGCCACACACACGGCACAGGCAGAAGCACAGACCTGGAGTCAAGGGTAGGGGGACCAACCACCCCAGCTGGCCCAGGATTGGGGAGCTTTGTCTACGATGCAGGACTTTGCTTGGGTCCACCCAGGAGAGTCTGAGGCCAACCAGGATTGGGAGCCCGAGGCAAAAGCCCCAAGCTCAGCCCTGGTTTTGCCCCATCATGAGATGAAGGAACCATGGACTGGTGTTCTGAGTTCTCAGCAACTCAGTTTTTCCACCTGCAAAATTCGGATAATAACATGCGAGTGTCATGCTTTTCAATGCGATGATGCAGAGCAGAGTTTCTCAACTTGGCGCTTGTTGACATTTTGGACCAGATCATTCCTCGTTGTGGGGGGCTGACCCATGCACTGCAGAACGTTTAGCAGCATCCGTGGCCTCTCCCCACTAGACATCAAGGGTATCACGACGACCAAAATGTCTCCAAACATTGCCAGGGGTCCCCATGGTGGTGTAAACGAAAAGCCTACCCAGTGCGGTGCTTGACCCACGGGTATCTCTGCACGGGGACCAGGTTGTTATTACTGTCATGAGGCCCCGAAGCTCCCCCCGGGGGCCCACGAGCCTGCGGGGTTCCCCCCTAGCACACAGCAGCTGGCCAGCCCTGAATGACCGTGGCCCTGGCGGCACCTTGGGCTTCCAGTGGGGCCTGCTGCCAGGTGGCGTCATGGAAAATCACACCACAGCGGACCCTCAGGAAAGAGGCTAGATCTGCAGGAGGGGCTGCGTCTGTCTGTGGGAAGCTGTCCCTCAAGGCCCATTTTCCCTGGAGGGACGGGCCCAGGGGCCACGGGGGGTGGGGTGGGGGGGAAGGGTATCTCAGAGCCAGTGGGGAAGATGGCACTGCTTGACTTCCACCAGGGAAAGGAAAACACCAAAGTTATCTTTGGAGAGAGGGAGGCCTTTATGTTCTATGTCAGTGTTTCCCAAACTTCTGCACATCAAAAACAACCTGGAGTACTTTCTGAAAATAGAAATTCCTGGGCTCCATCCCAGAACCATGGAATCAGAATCTCTAGGGCGGGGGTAGGAGACCAAGAAGCTGTATTTTATACAAACCCGAAGAAAGACTTACCTACCCTGAGGCAATACTTCTACGTCACAGGATCTGATTGGGGGGAGGGGGTGGCTCATTATGGCCTCCGGCCTCGGGCCATATCAGACCTGCCCGTTTCTGTATCCGCCCCCCCTTCCCCCAGAGCTAAGCATGGATTTTATCTTTGTAAATGGTTGGGGGGAAAATCAAAAGAAGAAGATTTTGTGACATGTAAAAATTAGGTGCAGTTCACATTTCAGTGCCTAATAGGAACTAGAGTGTTCCTGGAGCCCAGCCACCCTCACTGGCTCACGGAGGTCTGTGGCCGCTTCGTGCTGGCACCAGAAAGGTAAATAGCTGTGACAGAGACCATATGGCCTGCAAAACTTAAAATGTTTACTCTCCGGCCCTTTCCAGGGAACATTTGGCAACCCTGCTCTAACTCCCTGGGCCTCGGCAGTCCAAACCCATGGCCCTCCGTGGACCCATATGTCATAACCGAGCTGTGTGTCACCCACTGGCATGACCCGCACGAGATGCAAATCCACCTGCTGTCCCCAGCCTCCTGTTCTGGGCCTTGCAAGACCCACCTCGTAGAAGCTGGCTTGTATCCATCATCCTCCAGCGCTGTGATGGGGGAGAGTCTGTGTGACCCTCTGTGCAAGTACCAGAACGCAGGGAGCCCTAGGCTTTGTTTCATGAGCCCTCCCGTGGAAGCAGGGCAGCCCAGACCCGTGGATTTCATCCAGAAAGACCTGAACACACCCCCATTCAGCATGTCTACACATTGGACCCACTAAGTCCTGCTCTGGACCCAGCAGTCTCCAGGAGGTGCTTATGCACACATCCAGTGAAATCTTCCTCCTCTTTAGATGATAACCATCAGAATGAGCTGAAAATGCAGGTTCCAGGGCTCCTTCTCTGAGAGTCTGATGCCGCGATCAGGCCACAGGTGAGTGCATATGCCCAGCCTTCAGTGACCTGAGCCGTTCACGCAGGGGGATCACTTACCCTCTTCCCCCTGGTGGCCAGGGAGCCGCGTGCTAGCCCTGAAGAACAACCTAGCTCCAGACTTCTTTTATGTAAAGAAGAACAATTAACATCTAACTTGTTAAGTGAGATTCTCTGTTATGAGCAGCCACACCTATTCCTAGCCCAAACTCCAGCGTTACGGACAGGGAGACTGAGGCCTTGGAAGACATCATCACATAACCGTCCAAGGTCAGCCAACGTGAGATCAATCTTTCTCGCTTTGCTTTCTACTGGTTTGTGATTTCTTGGGCACACCTTTGCACAACGTTTTTTGCTCCTGTGCCTGCCTCCAGTGGGAGACTTAATCACCGTCCCAGGTATCTTCAGGATGTCCTCGGCAAGCAACGCAATAACCAAAATTTGATAAGCAAAGTCACTCAAAGAGTAGCCAGTTGGCATTCACTGGGCCAAGACAGGAGCCCTGGAAGGCAGTCTGCTGAGCCAACCAGAGCCAGGACGGTGGTGCGGAGGGCACGGCAGAGGGATGCCACACCCCAAGGGCAGGGCCGCATAGGGCCATATGGGGTCGCCCCTTTGCCCCGCCCAGACTGCCCTGCCCAAAGCAGCACCTTGGGAAACATGCGGAAGATCTCCTGGTTGATGTGGTAGATGCCGCTGGTGTCCACTTCATACTTGAGCTTCGTCCCCAGGGGGGTGTTCTTCTGGGTGGTGAAGAGGAAGGAGGGGGCATTGCAGCACCTGGACAGAGTGGACCTGCCAGGCAGGAGACAGAGCGGGAGAGACAGGTGACATGGGGCAGAGCCAAGCTTCTGGAAGAACAGGGGGGTCATGGAACTGAGGCTCCTCAAGGTGATCAGGGAGCTCCGTGCTCTCCCACCCACCCCTTCCTGCACTCACCCCCCACCCCACACCCCTGCTCATGCTGTTCCTCTGCCTTCAACATGCCTCCCAGTGCCTGGGCCTTTCCTCCTCTCCTCACACCGTCCTTGCTCCCCGTGAGCTCCCAGCTGCCCACCCCACGGACCTCACTGGCCTCCAAAGACCTGGTGCACAGACTGGATACCACCTACTTCATCACCTACCGACTCCCTCCCCGCCTGAATGAAAGCCCCTTGATGGCAGGGACCCTGCCTCTCTGGATCCTGCCTGGTGTTAGTCACACGAGTGTGGACAGCCAGCTGCTGGCCATGGTGGGATGAATCACGCCTCACTCGGGCGCTCATCAAGATCCACTAAGCATTCTACTACTTGCTGGAAGTGTTTCTCCAGCCTTGATGGAAATCTGGGGATACAGAGCTCATCCTTGGGTTCCTGGCCCCTAGCAGACTATAAACAAGGCATTTACCCTGTCTCAGGGGAGGAAAAACCCAAGACAAAATGGTCAATGGAAGCGTGCAATTTCAATCATTTAGTGTTTTAGGAAGGGGGGTCATCAGAAAGTGGGCTAGTGGGCTGATGCTGGACCACTTCCTGCAGAAAGAGGAGTCTGACTGATTTCCAAAATAGGTTCTCAGGAGTTCACTGTTTTAAAAAAAAAAAAAAGGCGCTGGCTTTCACTCACAAAAAAATACTCAAACACAAGCTACAGAAGGGTTAAAGCTCAGATGATGCAAGTAGGCTTTACAAAAATAAAAAATAAAAAAATAAACCCTCCTAGGGAGAAGGTAGCTGCTGAGGCAGACTTGGGAGCCGGCCAGGCCAGAGACGGCAGAGTTGTCCGTCATCCCTTGGGTCGGAGCTAGTACTCCAGCTGGTCACTCCCTCTCTGAGGCCTGGTGAGGGGTCGGGCCCTGGGCCCCGCCCTCCCCTGCCCTGGGGGCCCAAAGCCCTCCACAGCTAACAAAGCAGGCCAACCTCTGCTCTCTCACATGGGGGCTTTGAGCCCACAAGGCTCCATTTCTTCCAGAAGCAGCAGTGGGTGCCAAGTCCACACTGGCCTCCTCCCCCCAACACTGGCTCCAGGCACAGTCCCATGCAGCACCTAGGAGGCCCCAGGAGGGATGGGACACCTTTTCCACGGAGCTGGGATGATGACCACCACCAACGTTTGAGGAGGAGCTTTCTGGAAAGTTCCCCTCCAAGGTCTGGGATGGAAACTTGGGGTTGCCACCCTGGTGTCAAGAGGCTTGGGTTCTAGTTTCTGGTCTGCTCCCACCAGCGGTGGGGCCCTGGTCAGGTGTCTTCCCCAGGCTGGACCTCAGCTTCCTCGTCTGTAGAATGCAGCCTTGGCTGGTCCACCTCTGACCCTCTGTAATTCTGTGACTGTAGGTTGCCAAAGCCAGGAAGGTTATAAAATTATTTTTTATGACTTTCTCTCTTGCAAGGATTTCACTGGGGCACTCAGCTGTCTGTTGGTCACAGAGAGAGGCCTTTCCTGTGGAGTGTTGAGTTTCAGAATGTGACTAAGGCCTCCCAGAGTGGGGGCCAGGCAGAGGCCATGGGTCAGCATTGGCCCATTTAGCTTTGCTGGTCCAGGAACTCAATCTTGTCAGCCTGCTGGAGAGTACTCCATAGAGGGTGACTGACTCCCATTAACCAAGTTCACGAATGACTGATATGTAAACCAGAATGCCAATGTGTCTATTTGTAGGCAGTAGGGTGGGGGAAGGCCTCAGTTAAAGGGCCCCTCTCCTACAACTGGAAAGCTCATGTCCCTCTTCTAGCACACCCCTTCCACACCGCCCACTTCACCGTGCCAGGCTCTTACAAGCCTGAGTTAAGAATCTCATCACGGTTTAATGAGCTTGTGACGAGAGCAAAGGGAGGCCACCCAGTGGCCTTGAAGGTTTTTCCATTTAAAGCCTAGCAAGACCTG